TTGTATAAGTTTCTCTATATATTTATATTGTTAAATTGTTGTGACTAGAATATAATTTTATTTATAAATGGTTTCCAAACTATAATCTAGCCGTGATCAGTTGGATAATTCAGTGTTTTTATAACTGATATCAATCATTGCAAGTTATTTGAAATCCTGATGATCCTCACCGATAGTTCTAGTCACGTCCCACACATACCTCTAGCCCAAGACGAACAGGTTGCAACAAAGATGTGTTTGTGCACGCATGTATGTGCATATGTGTGTGCGTGTGTGTGTGTGTGTCTGTGAAAGCATTGTGGATATTTTGTGTTTGCTTATTTTATAAACACAATATTAATCTTTCCTTGTCAGTCCTTGAGGATTTTTGTACTTTCACTGTTAACATAAGCAACCAACTGATCATAAAAAGTCAACTTGACCATATAGAATAGGCTGTGGTGTATTCTGAAATAACATTTTTCTTCAAACTTTCTCATTAATTGCCAGCCTGCTCAGCGACTGCCAGAATATGATTAACCTTCTTAGATCAGTTCCCACTGTTGTGCAATGCATTCTAAAATATAGCAGCAAATAAATATATGATGTCACAGAGACAAAAACTCTGCAGGTAAAAACTAGCATAAAGCAGATAAGCATTCTCTGGCTGGGATACAGAGTTTTAAAACCTCTTAAAATAATTAAACCTTACTCTGAAAACACTACATACCAGATGTGAACTGCCCAAACTTGTTTTTGAACAGATTCATTTTATGTCCATAGAATTTAATGCACAGATTCATGTTCATGCAGTTCAATTCATGGATTTTTAAACTATTTCAGTACTTAGCCCATTGATTGATCTAAGAGCCTAGATATTAAAATGAAGTCTGCTATTCTTTTTATTCATTAAAGATAAGAAAAGACTATTTCTGTCAATGGTTATTGGATCATCCTACTTGACTATAAACAGATCCTTCACCTACCATGCATGTGCACAAAAAATACCAGAGCCTTTCCTAAATTGATTCTTAGGTCAATTGCTTTGATGCCACCGAGGCCCCCATATTGGCCGAAGTTGCAGGGAAAAGAGGTTGGGGGAATAATCTCATTTCTAGGATAAGAAGCATAGAAATAGGAATCAAAAGATTCGCATTCTAATCTTGGCTGAGCCTTCAAACAGCATGTGACACGGTCCAAGAAGTGGTGCTACCCTAAACACTCATTAAATCTTTACAACATGGACAGGCAAGTTCAGATAGGTGCTGCAGTATCCCCTTTTACAGGTGAAAAGATTCAGATACTTTCCCTGTGTCAGGCCATAGGTTAGGATCAGAGCCAGGATTCTGCCTGGAACAGGTTGGCTGCTATACTGCTATTTTAGAGGTATTGTGATAATGCATGTGAAAGGACTTTGAAAAGTATAAAGAATTATTATTCTTACACAGGAGGTACACTCAATAGACGTATTTATGTACTGAAAATTGGAATGAGGGTGGAAGAAATAGTGAAATAACTGGTGATGATGACTGTTGATGATTGTAGGGTGGTCACCACCTGGCTTTGAGGAGTGGCACATGCTAGCTAAACAGGGCAGAGAAGCTAAACACAGTCTTACCATATGATTCAGCATTGGAACCTTTAGGTGTTTATGCAACTGATTTGAGACATATATCCACACAAAACCCTGCAAACAAATATTTATAGCAGCTGTATTCATAATGACCAAAAACTGGGAGCAACTAAGATATCCTTCAATAGGTGAATGGATAAATAAACTGTGGTACAGCCAGTTGATGGGATATTATTTGATGATAAAAATAAATGAGCTGTCGAATCACAAAAAGACATGGATGAATCTTAAATGCATAGTTTCGAGTGGAACAACCCAATCTGAAAGGCTACATACTGTATGTTTACAATTATATCATATTCTGGAAAAGGCAAAACTATGGGGACAGTAAAAAAAAAAAAATGCATTGATTTCCAGGGGCTCAGGGAGAGGGGAGGAAGGATTAAATAGGTTAAGCAGGAGAAATTTCTTAGAGTGGTAAAACTGTCTATGTAATACTGTAGTTATGGATATATGACACTGTATATATCAAAACCCATGGAACTTTATAGAACAAAGAGTAAACATTAGTGTATGCACATTTTCAAGATCATTTAGAAGGTCAAGGGTCCTAGAATGGACTGCAGTGACAAAACAATCTAACTGTATTAAAAATCTGTAAAGCAGCTTCACTGAAGGAGGTGGGAGGAAAAGATGCTGACCTAAGTGATTTTGGAAATGAGAGGAGTCTGTAAGACTAAAGGCAAAAGAAAATGTCCATAAAACTGTACTTAATAAAGTTGTTTCCCATAAGGTTTCAAGTTAATGGTTCTAATACTGCTCTGCACTTTTACCGAATTAGCAATTAAGTAAATGCATGGCAGATGGTGGGAGCCAGATTTCTCATGGAGTTCACAGATAAGCAATGGGAATAGGCTGGGTTGGGACATGTGGTAATGAATTAGAGTTGGGGCTATCAGTATGAATTCACTCATGTTTAGCTTAACATAGATACCTATGGTTACATATAGAAATATTTACAGATATTTGTACATATATACAGAGCTTAGTATACATATTTCCTTGTTGTGTCAGCTAAGAGAGCCTAGAAAGCAATGACACCCCAGTAGCAAGGAGAACTTCTAGTGCCCAGATTTTGGCTTTAATACTGTTCTCCAGTAAAAGAAACTAGAGCTCCTTGGAGAAACTGCTGATTCTAAGATTGAGTTAGCATATATACAAGTTGGCCCTGGAGCATCTTGTAGTGCCATAAAGTAAGTGTCTAACACACACACTCACACACACACACACACACACACACACACACACACAAAATGACAGGAGGATCTCAAAGGGATAGAGGGGCCAACTTCAACAAGAGCTCCTCATGGCCAAATCTGAAACAATTTGAACCACAAAATAATGCAGTATTAAACTATAACTGAAAGTATAAAATAACTATGAGTTCACACTATTATAAATGAATAATTGAATAAATAAATCAAGGAAAATGACAAATCTCCCATGCAGAAGAATTCCAAATAATTTCTGTAGATATTCTACACTCAAAGAGGTAGAACATAACCCCCTACTCCTTTGATGTGGGCTGTATGTAGTGACTTCCTTCCAAAGGGTGCAGCATAGACATGGTTTAACTTTACAGTGAAGAACATGACAAATTACCTGAGCCGAGCAATCAAGATCAATATCAACAGTAATAAGTCATGTTGATGGAATGTACCCATGATACAATGCAACAAAAAGCCTCTTTATCTTTGTGGTTTTCTACCCAAAAACCCATAATCCAGTCTAATCTTGCAAAAAAAAAAAAAAAAATCAAATAAATACCAATTAAGGAGCAATCTACAAAATATTTGATGAGTATTCCTCAAAAACAAGGTAAATCTGAAAAATCATCACAGCCAAGAGGAGCCTAAGGAGACACAACAACTAATGTAATATGGTATCCTGGATGAGATTCTGAAATAGAAGGACATTAGGGGCCGGGTGCAGTGGCTCATGCCTGTAATCCCAGCACTTTGGGAGGTCAAGACAGGTGGATCACCAGAGGTCAGCCTAGTCAGTTCGAGACCAGCCTAGTCAACAGGGTGAAACCCCATCTCTACTAAAAATTAAAAAATTGGCTGGGCATGGTGGCGGGCACCTGTAATCCCAGCTACTCGGGAGGCTGAGGCAGGAGAATCGCTTGAACCCGGGAGGCAGAGGTTGCAGGGAGCCAAGATCACACCACTGCACTCCAACCTGGGTGACAAGAACAAAACTCTGTTTCAAAAAAAAATAAAGAAGGACATTAGATAAATACCAAGGAAATCTGAATAAAGTATCGACTTGTTAATAATATACAGGTAGTGATTCACTAATTATAACAAATGTACTATACAAATATAAGTTGTTAATAATAGGAGAAACTGGATATGGAGTACAGGAACTCTCTTTACTATCTTTATAATTTTTTGCAAGTCCAAACTGTTCTAAAAAATAAAGTGTATATATATATCCTTTTAGTATATATAAATACACTATAGAGAAGATTTTGGTTTTACCTAGATTACATCACTGAAAGATGTTTTGATGTGGGAATAAAAGATATAATCAGACACAGTCCTGTAAAAATCAATTCATCTCCTTGGTGATGATTTTAATCACATATGCTCCTTTTGGATGGACATAGCTATAAGGAAAGAAATTTTTTTTAATGCAGAAGTATATTAAATTTATTCGTTAAATAAACAATGAACATCTCCAGATAGCGACAAATGGCAAGGAATTACATCCAGCTATAATTTAACCAGCCCTCCTTAGGATTGCTACTATTAGAGTTCAATGGTGGTATAAACCATCTCTAGAGTATGCTTTTTCTTTTTTTTTTTTTTTTCGGTGTTGTCAGATTTATTATTTTCTTTTTTTTTTAATTTTAATTTTAATTTTTTTATTATTATACTTTAAGTTCTAGGATACATGTGCATAACGTGCAGGTTTGTTACATATGTATACTTGTGCCATGTTGGCGTGCTGCACCCATCAACTCGTCAGCACCCATCACCTCGTCATTTACATCAGGTATAACTCCCAATGCAATCCCTCCCCCCTCCCCCCCCATGATAGGCCCCTGTGTATGATGTTCCCCTTCCCGAGTCCAGGTGATCTCATTGTTCAGTTCCCACCTATGAGTGAGAACATGCGGTGTTTGGTTTTCTGTTCTTGCGATAGTTTGCTGAGAATGCTAGGTATATACCCAAAGGATTATAAATCATGCTGCTATAAAGACACATGCACACGTATGTTTATTGCGGCACTATTCACAATAGCAAAGACTTGGAATCAACCCAAATGTCCATCAGTGACAGATTGGATTAAGAAAATGTGGCACATATACACCATGGAATACTATGCAGCCATAAAAAAGGATGAGTTTGTGTCCTTTGTAGGGACATGGATGCAGCTGGAGTATGCTTTTTCTATAGATGGTTTATTAAATGACTTGCAATGAAATCGAACACAGGACTCTTCTTTAACCCCTTCAGGAACCTGATGAAACGCCTGGTCTAACAGAAGGAGGCAGAGAAAGTTATGAAGAGGGGTATGTGAGCTTCTGTGCTACTTATTCTTGGTCCTGCAATATGGTCAGTGAAGCACCCTGAGCGCTCACCCTTTCCCAGTGCTATAAAGCAAATTGGATGGATGAGTGTGATTTGGAGGAGAAGGAAACTGCAGTTATCACTGCTTTACCTTGACCTCTGCCTGGAGACAAGGCTGAGAGGGTGACTACAAAATTAGAGTGACAACTAACATATGCTGGATACATATCCTGGGCCCGGATGATGCCAGGTATTTTACAGTGGGTCACTCCTCACAACAACCCTATGAGCAGCAGTCTCTTCCTTAAGATTTTGAGGGGGCCCAGTAATCACTACCCCCTTCACTCCCTTCATTCTCAAAAAATTAAGATATAAGACAAAGGAGTAACAGATGAAGATATTATAATATCACTCCTATTACTGATAAAGTCTCTCTTACAGTGCTGGTGGGAGTATAAATCGATATATCCATTTTGGAAAACTAAATCTGAACATATGCATTCTCTATGCCCCAGCAATTCCACTCACAGAAATATACCCAATAAAATGTGTACGCAATATACCCAATAAAATGTTGCTCACCAAACGACATGTACTAGAATGCTCATAGGAGCACTATTTGTAAAACTGGAAAATACCCATGTGCCCAGCAGCAGTAGAAGGGATCAATAAATCTTGGTATACTCACACAATAGATGATTATATAGCAATAAGAGTGATCAAACCGTCACTACAGGCAACAATATAGATGAATATGACAAATGTAACATACAGGCAAAGAAACCAGATGCAGAAGAGCATGAACTGTATGATTTCATTTATGCAAAGTACAAAAGTAGGAAAATGAATTGGGTTTTAGAAGTCAGTTCACGATAGTTGTTGCCCTTGGGTGGGGACAGTGATTGAGAGGGAGCAGGCAGGAGACTTTGGGGACTAGCAATATTATTTTTCTTGAAATGAGTACTAGTTACTTGGGTGTGTTTGATTGTGGAAATTATAGAGCAATACACAAGCAGTAAGCATCTTTACCATATATATAGTACTTCAATTAAAAAAATTTAAAAATCCTCTCTTGATCCCATCTTCCCATCCAACTACCACTATCTCTCCTCTTCCCTGTAAAGCAAATGTTTTTGAATGGAGTGTCTTTGCTTGCTGTGTCCAATGTCTGCATTCTCTCTTGAATCCAGTCCAGCAAACCTTTTGCCCTAGATTCTAAAAAGCTGGTCTTATAAAGATCAGTGATGACTTGCATATGGCTAAACCCAATGGTCAGCTTGCCTCATTGGACTTACCAGCAGCATTCCATACAGACTATCACTGTCTGCATATTCTCTTGGTTTCTGTACGCACTATCCATCACTAGGTGAACTCACAGAGCCTCATGGCTTTAAATGCCATGCCTGTACAGATGACTGTCTCATTTATATTTTCAGCCCAAATCTCTCCTTGGCACATCAGATTTGTGCATTCAATTGCCCACTCAACATCTCAAACATAATATATTCCAAACAGATGTCCTGATATCCTCCAAACCTGCCCTTCCCACATTCTCCTCCTTCTTATTAAGCTTCTCACATCTACTCCGTCTTTCCAGTTGTGTAGCACCCAAACCTTGGAATAACTTTGAACTCCTCTTTTTTTTTTCTCATACAATGCATCTAATCCATTAACCAGACCTGTTGATTCTACCTTCAAAATATATCCAGAATTTACCCACTTCTTGCTGGTTAGATTGCCACCATCCTGGTCCAATCCACCTTTCTCTCTTGCCTGGGTTATCTCAATAGCCTTCTAGATGCTTCTTCCCTGCCCCTCACCGCCCTGCCCCTTGCCTCTGCCCTTGCTGCCCCACAATCTATTTCCTACAAAGAGTGATCCCAGTAAACAATAATCCAAATTATGTCATTTGTCTGCTCCAAACCCTTGTAATATTTTCCATCTCACTCAGAAGAAATGGCAATTCCAGGCTGTGAACTTTAAGACTCTGTGTGATCTGACTTCACATTGGCTTTCAAACCTCATCTTGCACACTTCTTCCCCGGTGTGCTCTGCTTTTGCCGCACTGGGATTTTTATGGGTCCCTGGACACTCCGGGCATTTCCCTTGGCTCAGGGCATTTGCATTGGCTGTTTCTGCTCACTGGAGTTCTCTTGCCCTGCTATACACATGGTTTTCTCTCTCACTTCCGTCAGGTCTTTCTTTACTCAAATGACATATTTTTTAAAAGAGGATTTATATCTAAAATTTTATACACACATCTCTGTATCCCCCTTCCCGGCATTCTTTGTTTTCTCCTTGGCCCTTATCAGAGTCATGTGTGTATTTGTTCATGTATTTATTGACTGAGCGAGTGATTTTTTTCTCTCCCAGTAAGCTGCAAACTCTGTGAAGACAGGGATACTTTTCCCATCTTTGCCCCCTCATGCTGCAAGCCCAAGATACAATTAGAACACATCCAATTCACTGTCCATCTACCTGTGGCATTTCAACCATGACCACAAACCAAATCACTCTCCCCGTATCACATTCCCTGAGAGACTTTGTTTCTCCCACAGCAAAGATTTGTTTATTTTTCTGATTCAATCAAATGTACCACTAGTTTCTGCAGGATTATTTGTACCTCTTTCAGGATCCTGAAGAATTTGCTCCTGGGCCGTGAAGATGGGAAGCTGAGTCAGAGTGCAGTTCTTCACCCAATCCCACAGCCACACATGCCTGCTCACTCACGGGATCTTCCCACTCTCCTTGGGAAGGCTTCCGAGCTGCTTCCTCAGGATGTCCTGTGATCGCAGCCTGACCTGTCAAAGCCATGCGAATGCCATCTGTTCAGTTATATAACTTGAGATCTGGGAAGGATTCTCAACGTAGGATTTGCTGCCCAAATCGAATCATTTTCAGAAAGGAGATTAAACATTCTTTGCTGGGAAAAGGAGAAATAACCAGACAAATCATCATTTCCCTGAGTATAAAGAAACCTTTGTCCAAAATACACAAATGAAAATGACAAATTTGCTTCACTAATATTTGCTTGCATTAAAAATATACACAGGACTATGGATCAATATCTTAAGTGCAAAATAAATTCTTAATTGGGAACATGGAATTATTAATTTAACAATCTTAATTTTGTTTAGATCATTAGCCTGCAGTATAATGCCCCAAGCAGAATTTGGGGTGAGGGGCTTGGTGGGGGAAGAGGAAGTGCTCATTACTACAGACTTGACAAGATTATTAACACTACAGAATGATTTTTCTTTCATGGGAGGGGAAGATATCTGGACCACCAGCAGTCAGACAGAAACCCTGACTTGTGATTTTAACATTACCTTCTGTGACCCATGGTCACCTTGTATGACCAAAGAAAACCATTTATGAAATAGCTGCCTGGAGTTAAGGATTTAAATGGTAACTTTGTAGACTAGGTTTTCTCTCGTCATCTAATTTACTCGCCTTAACGCTTGTTTCTTTGCCCTTATTCTTACTAGCCCTCGAGTATAATATCCTGAGAATTTATGTTGAACAGCACTAATTTTTTCACATGGAGCTAGCACATGTTTATGACTAGTACAAGTTTATGACTACAAAAAACAGAGATTTTGTCATCTTAAACTGAATTTACTGGGAATAAAATCAGTCAATACAGAAAAGTATAACAAAGGAAATAAAAATCACCACAACTCCTACTACCCGAAGATTATATGGTTAAGGTGTTTCATATATTCTTCTGTAATTTTTACACACATATGTTTTTAAATAAAAATTAACCCTACCTATAAACCGAACAATATTATTTAACTAACAAGAGAAGAATACATTGTATTTTTGGTTGGCTATATAACAAAGAGAATCCAGCCATTCAGAAAAAAACAGGGTAAGACAAGGAAGGAAGCCAAATAGATGGACTGCAATGGAAGTTCACCCAGAATGAATGAATGAATGAGGAGCTATTTTACTGACTGTGGTCAGTCAGGGAATACCTATTAGAAAAAGCAGCATTTGGCCGGGCGCAGTGGCTCAAGCCTGTAATCCCAGCATTTTGGGAGGCTGAGGCGGGCAGATCACCTGAGGTCAGGAGTTTGAGACTAGCCTGGCCAACATGGTGAAACCCCGTCTCTACTAAAAATACAAAAATTAGCCAGGTATGGTGGCAGGCACCTGTAATCCCAGCTACTCCAGAGGCTGAGGCAGGAGAATTGCTTGAACCCAGGAGGCAGAAGTTGCAGTGAGCTGAGATTGCACCATTGCACTCCAGCCTGGTCGACAGAGCCAGACTCCGCCTCAAAAAAAAAAAAAAAAAAAAAAAAAAAAAAAAAAGAAAGTAAAAAAAGAAAAGGAAAAACAGCCTTTGAGTAGAGGCCAGTGAACGATGGAACTCTGTAAGGATCTGGGGAAAACTTATCTATTCGGTTGGAGGGAACCACAAGTGTGAAGGTACTGAGACAGGAGTGAACTCAGTGAATTGGTGGAACAGAACAGCTTGGAGGCCCCGGGAGCTAACACAGGATGAAGCAATGGAGAACGGCAGGAGGGGACATGGCAGAGGCAGGTTTTTCCTTTTCCAGTTTTCTTCAGTTCTTTTGATTGCCTCAGGAGAAAAGTCTTAGTTTGATGTTAGCACATATTTAACACTTCTGGTGTTCACTACTCTATTTTTCAACAAAAAGATAGCAGATTTTGGGATCACAGCCTTCTGAGATGATGGCATTTAACTAAAATATAATAACATTGGTTTTTATTTTCTTTATTTTCACAATTACTGTCTTTTCTTTCTTGATATAGTGTCTCACTCTGTTGCCCAGGCTGAGTGCAGTGGCGCTATCACAACTCACTACAGTTTCTAACTCCTGGACTCAGGAGGTGGGATCCTCCCCTGTCAGTCACTCAAGTAGCTAGGACTGTAGGCATACAGCACCACATCCGGCTAATTCTTTGTTTTTTTGTAGAGATGGGGTCTGGCTGTGTTGCCCAGGCTGGTCTCATACTTCTGGGCTCAAGTGATCCTCCCACCTTGGCTTCCCAAAGTGCTGTTGTTACAGACATGATCCACCACAATCAGCACACAATTACTATCTGTTTATAGCGAGTGATGCTGGTTTCCTATTTACAGGAGTGATAAAGTCTTTTTTAAAACAAATGTATTTAAGTTTCATATTAAATCATCTTAAAGAAAAATATGACATAAGAAATGTAAAAAAGTGGTACATGAGCAGAAGTGGCAAAAATCCTAAAAGTAATTGGCAAATGACTTAAGTTTGGGGAACACAGTTCTAATCCATCCCACCTATACCTGGACACCCTAAAGACGAATCCAAACCTATTAGAGACTTATTCCTGCTTTCTAAGATGATCACAACCTAGTTAATCTAGTTATAAATTAATCTGGATCACTAGTCAGTGATACTCCCGCCCTCAAGTAAAATGGCTGCTTTTTGAGAGCTTTAATTCGGATTCTGTTTAGAAGAAATAACAGGTATCATGGTTAGTACAAGGATTGGTCAGAGAGCTATATCTTGCCTGTTAACCACATAGATTCTGGCAATGATTTCCCATTTATATCATCTAAGTGGTTTTACTGGTTGTTCCCCTAGTTGTTTCTCTTTTTTTTTGTTTGTTTGTTTTTTTAGACAGAGTACCACTCTGTCACCCAGGCTGGAGTGCAATGGTGTGATTTTAGCTCACTGCAACCTCCGCCTCCTGGGTTTAAGCTATTCTCCTGCCTCAGCCTCCAGAGTAGCTGGGATTATAGGCACCCACCACCACATCTGGCTAATTTTTTGTATTTTTAGCAGAGACGGGGTTTTACCACGTTGGCCAGGCTGGTCTCAAACTTCTGACCTCAGGTAATCCACCCACCTCAGCCTCCCAAAGTGCTGGGATTACAGGCCTGAGCTACCATGCCCGGCCCTCAGTTGTTTCTTAATTTGCCTGCTAGTTTGTTTTTGATATGATACTAATCGAAATGGAGGTCCTTAAATGAACTTCTTTTATAAACAAAAACATTAGTTTTGGCAGTGATGGCTTACAAGAGTGTGTTCTATAATACCTACTTTGCAGATGCAATTTGAATTCTTCAATACTAAATATTTGGATTTTTTTTTCCTGAAATTCTTTCTAATGAGATTTTTGTGGATTTTTTTTTTTTTTTTTTTTTTTTTTTTTGAGACAGTGTCTCACTGTTGCCTACCCTGGAGTGCAGTGGCACAATCATGGCTCTCTGCAGCCTCAAGTTCCTGGGCTCAAGTGATCCTCTTGCCTCAGCCTCCCACCTCAGCCTCCTCCCTCAGCCTCCTGAGTAGCTGGGACTACAGGTAAGTGCCACCACCCAGGTAATCTTTTATTTTTTGTAGAGACAAAGTCTCACTATGTTACCCAGGCTGGTCTCAAACTCCTGAACTCAAGCAATTCTCCCATCTTGGCCTTCCAAAGTTCTAATGAGATTTAAGCAAGGAGATGGATGGAAGTTGCTTTGTATTACTGATGTTCTCAGAAAAAGAGAAAATCGAATCTGAGCACAGCTGTTGCAAGTACAGGTGCAGACTGATTACTAGCAAGTTAGATGGCCCAACACCATATCCATCTAAATGTAAATATTTTGCTTCTTTTTCAGTGACTTGTAGAAGAGTGATTCTGGAAAATACTGCCCGTACATTCAAATGGGAGAAAGCCTCCCTTGTACCAAATCTGCAATCATTAGAAAACTGTTGATATAATCTTAACAATCAGAAGGGAAGTTGGTTACTCATTTAAATTACTGGTAAGATTTTTGTAAGCCCTGTGACAAAACACATGAAGTGATGAAAAATTCTTCCCCCGCAGAAAGAAAAGAAAAAGCCCTGGAGGACCCAGGTCTAGTCTCAACTCTGTCAACTACTCCAGTACCTATTAACCTTGAAGAGCTACTTAGTTTCTGCAGGCTCAGTTTTTTCAACTCTAGAATGAGAGGAATACATTAGACTCCCTTTGGGATAAAAATGCAGTGTTTTGGCCTGGTACGGTGGCTTACGAATCTGTAATCCCAGCACTTTGCGAGGCTGAGGCAGGTGAATTACTTGAGGCCAGATGTTGGAGACCAGCCTGGCCAACATGGTGAAACCCCATCTCCACTAAAAATACAAAAATTAGCTGGGCATGGTGGTGCACGACTGTAATCCCATCTACTTTGGAGGCTGAGGCAGCAGAATCACTTGAACCCAGGAGGTAGAGGTTGCAGTAAGCTGAGATCGCACCACTGCACTGCAGCTTGGGGGACAGAGCAAAACTCTGTCTCAAAACAAAACAAAACAAAACAAAAATGCAGTGTTTTCACAAAATAGCATCAACAGCAAAAATTACCAAAGTTAATAAATTGGTGCTACATAAATAGGATATCTGCATTAAAAATGTAAAGGATTTTCTGAATGACCAAGCAATTAAATTATAGAAAACTATAAGCACAAACAAATACACTTGTTAGAAAAAGTGTAATAATAGGAAAGTGCTAAATTACATTTGGACGTTGAAAAGCCATGAAATGATTCAGGCAGACAAAAAAATATATATGAAATAAGAAGCACACAACAGTTGTGATGTAGCCATAGGCCTGCCCAACTTGTTGGACCAAAGAAGGAAAAAAATTACTATACAATAAATGATTTATCTTTTCCATTCCTAAAATATGCACAACTGTCTGGATCATTGTGATATGAATATAATGCCAGGTTATCACAAATGGGATCAATGCATAGCTGTTAGAAGGGAGTTGTGAAATCGCCAGCTCTGAGCTCTTCTTCTGGAAGGGTGGAGAGAGAACAACAGCCAGTTTATGAAACTATTAGGAAGTATTTATAGGTCCATGCTTATATCATTTCATAATAACTTACGTGTTATTGTCAGCTTGTACATTGTGTGATCTAAGAATAATTTCCAAATTAAAATATTGTAATTGTTCCCATTAAGTTTATCCTGACAGATCTTCTTTTTTTGGGGGGGTGGGTGGGGGACAAGAGCTTGATCTGTCACCCAGATGCAGTGGTGGCACAATCAGGGCTCATTGCAGACTCAATATCCTGGACTCAAGCCATCCTCCCCCCTCAGCCTCATGAGTAGCTGGGACTATAGGCATGTGCCACCACACCTAGCTAATTTTTTTTTTTTCTTTTTTTGAGATAAGATCTTATTACGTTGCCCAGGCTGGTCTTGAACTCCTAGGCTCAAGTGACCCTCCTGCCTTACCCTCCCAAAGTGCTGGGATTACAGGTGTGAGCCGCCATGTATCCTGACAAATCTTTCTTTTTACTACTCCTTTAAGTGGGACCTGTCTTTGACCCAATACTCTGAACCAATATGTTCACCTGAGAAAGAGAAAAAAAACTGTGTTACAAATAAAGCAAAACTGTAACAAGAAGCCTTGGTCACATTTGTTGAAGACTAGCATAATGCTGGCTAGTCTGGCCAGATGTCTGAGAATGGATTAAATGGCTTTCTGCAGTTCTTTTTAGGATCAAGATGTTATAAAAAGCTTTAGTATTTGATACATTTCAAGAGAGAAAAGGCTGTGTTTACTTATTTTTAAATGCTATGTGTCTTTGTACTTAGGTGAATACGTGTGAGTATATTTTAAATTAAATTCCTTCCAACTATTTCAACTATTTTTACAGACATCATTTACTGAGAGGACAAATGGGTAATATAAAAAAAAACTGCCATGGGTGGAGGTGAAATGTTGTAACTTACA